AGCTTTCCTTTAGTAAACACACTTCAGTTTATTCTGTTTCTCTTAACATCTAAGAACTCATGTATAAAGTACACATAATATCACATCCTTGAAAGTGTTTATCATTTTATTCAGTTATATATTTTGGTTATATATTTTGTAATATTTTACTTTATTATTATTACATCCTTACAATCTTTGATTTTTTCTTGTTAGCATGAATTATATAATGTAAAGTGCAATCAGTCGTTTAACGTCAGTCTCTTCTGTTTATAATGTCTATAACTACAAGCTCTTCTGGCTGTCTATTTTTGTATCCCCAGAGCCTAGAATAATATACACAGTAAGTGCTCAATTAATATGATAATGTCTTTGGAATGCCATTCAGGATATCAGTAGGATACCCAACAGAATATCACAAATGCTCACTGATTTTTTAAAAATACCATTTTGTCTCGAATCTCTCACACTTTCTATAGCAATTAGGGTGTATTTGACTCGAAGACGCAGAAAACTTCATGGACTTAAACTAACACAGCCTTAAACCAAAGGAGGCTACTCATTTACTTAGTAGTCCAAAGGTGGGCCTTTCCAGTACTGGCATGACAGTTCAATACTGTTTTCCAGGACCTGGATTCTTTTCATCCTTCTTAGCCATCTGAAGGTCGCTGGTTTGCAACCTCAGCCAGAAGGCATACCAGCCCAAAGATGGTGGCCACATTCTCTTATTTCAATGCGCAAAGCAGGAAGCAAGCGGAGTGGCACCAAAACAATGGCAATATTTACTCATTCTTGTCAGAATCCTAGGACTCCCCCAGTCCCAATGGCTTCTCCCAGTTCCAGTGATGAGAACTGGGTCGTGTACCTACTGCGGGACTAACTGGGGAGAGAGGAAAGGACTGCCATTAATGATTAATTCTGATTCATCCCATATTTTTGGACTAGAAGAAAGGGAAACTGCTGGGGATGCGGCAACACTGTGTTTTCTCTTTAGCCACCTTAAACAAACCACACTGGAGCTCTAGTTTCCTCTGAACATTCAAGCTTTCAAGATTCTTCAGGCGTTTTTCTATTTCCTATATCTTAATCATTAAGCCTTTTCCTTCAGCGACATTTACTTTTTCAACCAAAAGTTTTCCTTCATTGACTTGTTTACATAATCACTTCATTTCTGCATTCTTTTTCTTTTCCAAAGTGCTGACACATATTGCATTTTCAAAAAAGATACAAGCTTATTTTGCCCCTTCCTTTCCATTGCTTATATATACTTTCATTTCTCGACTGTATCAGGAGCCTCAGAGGCCAAGAAAATGTCTTCTGCTCTCAATGTACTTGACTTGCCCTTCCCCTTTATGGTTAATCACACATATGTAGACTTTAATAGGAAGCAACAGAAATCAGGGTTTCATAGACAAGAAGCACTGCTAACATTACAAACATCCTCTCCTAACCTGTTTATATTAAATTCTTTGCATACTTGCCTCCTGCTCTAGTCAGAAAGTCCCCGAACACAGTGGATTTCCCACTTCATCCCACCTTACCCAACAGCTTTCACAAAAGCAAAGAAAGGAGCTGGGTTTCCATAGTAACACACGTGTGACAGTTGAGGGTATCTGGGCATAGGTGAGATAACTCTCAGATTTAGTGGGGAGAGGAGAAATGAAGATTTTTTTCTTTTCTTTTCTTTTTTCTTCCAATAATGCCCTTCAGAAGCTAAAGAGACTCTACAGTGTCAGTGCACGGTGTTAAGTTTTCACTATCTTACAGATTTACAGCTCTTAGAGAAAATTCAATTTCATTTTATTTCATGTGATTTTGTCTTGTCCATGAACAAATGAATGGAGACATAAGTTTTTATTTCTAAAATCACTCTCAGAAAGATAGTTCATGTTGGCATAAAAAAGAACATGATTAAGGAATCAGGAGACAGACACCCATCTCCCAACCACATCTTCAAAATTCTCTACACGTTCTGACATCCTTTCTTATGGCAGCTAATCCTTCCGCCAGTACTTCACATACAGTCTCAAATTAGGTAAGTACCATCATATAAGACAGAATAGGAAAGAAAATATGCCCTACTTACTATGTTTCTTTTGCTTGTTAGTGGTTAAAAATCTACCCTTATGGCAATGCTGAGAATGAACATTGAGAATGAATATCAAATGAATATGAATTCATCGAAAACGAGTATCAAATATCAAGATGAGAAATAAAATGAGCCAACCACACTAAGGGCTGCAGTCTGTATACTTCTCCTTATCAAGAAAAGCCAACAGTAATGCAAGGTCAGAGAAAACATCCTGAAAAATGTCAAAAAGCTCTCCTACTCTTTATTATGCTAAATGGAGTGACTAGGGAGCCCATTCAGTATTTTTTGTGTGACTTCTATCAGATGCACTGCAATTCAGAGTTTCTCAGCTTCTGGGGACCTAGGAAATGAAAAGTTGCTTAAGGTTACATTCTGGATTCATAATCCCAATGCAAATTTCAAAAGAAAAAAGTCACTAAATGTTTACTTGCAAAATAAATGATTTTTCAGCTCCATTGTAATGCAACGTACTACACAGATTGTAATTATCTATACAAAGAAAGTTTGATGCTTCTCAAGAAGCCTAGGAATTTTAACACCATGATGCACAATATGGATCTTAAAAGAGACAGTCTGTCTTCTGAAAAGAAGTGTGACTGTTACAAAGCTAAAGAAACCTCAAATCCGCATAAAGATTTCACACAAAATATGAGACCTATGAAAAGCTAGGTGAACACCGCACTCATCTACAACATCTTCTTGAAATATCCCTGCCAAGAAAGCGCAGATACAATGAATCTATGTGAGCTCCTTTCACTTTAATTCACTTTTTCATAATACTAGTTTAGAATCAGATATCTATGGTTTCCATGATCTTAAAACATTCTTCTGATTCATATATATATATATATTTTGGGGGGGGCAATCTGCCCTCACTGCTGATTCTGGAGGCTCAGATATTACCTTTCATACTTTCACAATATGTCATCAAGAAATGAAGCCTGAATCAATTTATTACACATTTTGACATGATGCTTGCCCTCAATTATTTTAAGCAAAAACTTGGTATGTGCTATAGTATAGCAAGATAATGCAAAAATAAGTTCTCCGTTCTAATACAGGGGCCAAACAGTAACAGAACACTGGCGAATCTAAGTACACCTCTGTAGTAGTTTGATTAACTGACAGAAAAGCTGGAAAGTGAACACCTGGTCTTTCCAGGATCTCAGACCAACATCCTCTCTACATGATGACCTTGTGGGGAAGAGAAAGGGCGAAGAGGTATGTCGTGGCCAAACAGAACTGCAGAAATTTATTATTCACGAGAAATGTGATTTAGTAACAGACTGGCGTAGACTAGTCTGAGAAGGACATAGTTTAAGGAAGGTAAATCCAATAACCAATCATTACAAAATATAATCCAGGAATACTTGGAAATATAGCTTCTCCTAATTTGACGTTGTGGGTACTAGAGTGCAACTAACATATAACGCTACAGAGACCGAACTGGCAAGTTTAAAAACTAAGTAGTTTAAAAAAAAAAAAAAATGTTTCGGGAGGCACGCATGGAAGACCCGCGCCAACTGCTGCAGTAGGTCTCCTAAGTACCGGAAAATTTCTCACCCTAAAGACAAAAGTCCCTGTTTTCTCGATTCAGCCCACGATTCAGCCCACATCCCTCAGCACCATTTCCATGCCCATCATTTAGGCAGCATGCCAAGGAGACGACGTTAAACGCAGAATTCATCACTCTCGACTGCAAAACACCTTGCTCCTTGCCAGCATAGGGCACAGCGACCGGCCCCTCAGGCTCCGGCCCCTCCCGGACCCCACCAGCAGCCCTGTCTCCATACCACCGGCCCTAGGTGGCAAGGGAATCGCGCGTCCTGATTGGCTCATATCGAACCTCCGTCATTCTTCAGCTCCCCTACGATTGGTTGGCAGAGCGTGCGCTGGAGCAAACGCCCAGGCTGGCCGGGCGAAGGGAGGGGAGTAGGTTGATCCCGCGACTAGAATTTTTCCCATTGGCTGACGGTGGGTGTCACGTGGTACGAAGTGCCTCTGTATTGGCCGACAACAGTACCACGGGGTACAGAAACGTGATCTGGTTGGTTGGAATGAATCCCAACTTCCTACTAGGTGCCCCAGCTAGCTGTTGCTATGAGGTGGCCCTGGGCCTTCTGTTGCGTCTTGGAGCTCCGTTCTCCCGGTTTTCCAAGCTCCCATAGCCGAGAGGGCGTGGGAAGAGCTCGACACCAGTCCCGGGCTGGAGCAGGGCGGGGCCGGGGGCGGTGGGCCGGACGTACAGCTACGTCACCGGGCGTGGGCCTGGCTTCCGCGGACTCGCCTTCGCCGCCTCGGGAAGTGGGCAAAAGGGATCCTGCAACGCTTTCCTCAGTGTTCTGACGCTGAAAACAAAGCTTCACTTCGCTGTGTTTATGTTCGTTCCCTCAAAAAAGCTTCTCATTATGTTTATGCAAGATAAACCCAAAGCTCAGGAGTACTGAGAGACTGGGTAGTGTGTCAAGCAAAATTCCTCACCGAGACCTCCTTCTGGGCCTTGCCCGTTTAGATTGCTCTGGCCCCGCTAGCATCTTGTCTCCCCCAGATGCCGAGCGTGGGATTCTCAAATTGACCAGGTTCCGGGCTCAGGCAAACGAACTGCGCATGCTCAGTACGCAGGCCTTGGGGTTCGACGGGGCGTGCGGGGTAGGCTGTTGCTGGGTGGCAGAGGAGGTTGTTTATCTAAGTGCGAGCGGAGGCTTCCGCACGGCGCAGTCTCCCGGGAGCGCGCGCGGCCGGTCGCCTAGGCGACAGGGAGCAGGGGCGGGGCTGCCCCGCGGAGCCCCGCCTCCTGCCGCCGGGCCCCGCCCCCGGCAGCGCTGCGGCTCCCGCTCGGGCGCGCGCTCCGGCACCCGAGGAAGCGGCGGTGGCTGCGGCGGCGGCGGCGGCGGCGGCGGGTGGGGAGCTGGGCGTGGAGGCGCGAGGGGCGGGGCGGGCGGGTGGCACTGCGGGCCCGCGGCTCGGGCGGCTCCGGTGCCTCCGGCGGCTCCCGCTCGCTGCTCGTGCTCAGTGCCTGCCGGCGCCCGCGGGCCGCATTGCCGCCCGGCTCGGCCCATGCCCAGGGCTGCTGCTCCCTCCGCCGGCGCCCGGAGGGCCGCGGCGGCCGTGAGGTGGGGGCGGCCGCGGGAGGCGGCGGGGCCGGCGGCCGACGCAGGGTCCGGGGGCGCAGCGCGGCGGGCGTAGGTCTATGTCGCGGGCGGCGGCGGCGGCGGCGGCCGCGGAGGGACGATGCGCGAGTACAAAGTGGTGGTGCTGGGCTCGGGCGGGGTCGGCAAATCCGCCCTGACCGTGCAGTTCGTGACCGGCACCTTCATCGAGAAATACGACCCCACCATCGAGGACTTCTATCGCAAAGAGATCGAGGTGGACTCGTCGCCGTCGGTGCTGGAGATCCTGGACACGGCGGGCACCGAGCAGTTCGCGTCCATGCGGGACCTGTACATCAAGAATGGCCAGGGCTTCATCCTGGTCTATAGCCTCGTCAACCAGCAGAGCTTCCAGGACATCAAGCCCATGCGGGACCAGATCATCCGAGTGAAGCGGTGAGAGGGCCGGGGGGAGCGGGCAGGGGGCTTCGCGGTGCTGCCGGCGGCCGACGTCCCGGGGCCAGAACTCCCCGTGCTCTGGGTGGCCGTGGGCAGAGGGAGCTGTCTGGGGAGATGGCTCTGGGGTCTCATGCGCTGTAATCTTTTTTTTTTTTTTTTTTTTTTTTTTTTGCCGGCATCACTTCCACCATCCTCTTGAATCTCAAATTTGAGTGCTTTGTTTCACAACTCAAATTTGGCATCCCGTGAACCTACAGAACAGCTCTTTGTCTCTTGGATATTGTTAGTAGCACTTGTGCAGAACCCCAAAGGAAACAAAGTTTAAAACTTGCAGTGGGGGAGAGGGTTGGGTAGGTTTGTGTTGGGGAGAGGGGAGCTGTGCAGGCATAGTGGAGACATTTTCAGATTGAACAACAAAAAATCTACCTTGGCAATATTTGACAGCAAAAATAGCTCACATGTATATGGTAAAAACGTCAAGTCCAGAGGAAAGAGACCTTTCTCCTCTCTTAAAAGATTGAGTGGTGCTAAGGCGTTTTACAAAAAATGAACTGTGCAGTTAATTTAATAATTATTAAATTATTTGAAGACAGTCTAACAGTTCCATGAGATTGAGAGAGTTATAAGCATATAGGAGCACTGATATTCCATTTGCATTACGGAATGTGGCTTAACTTTTTTTAATCCAAATGCCTTACCCCCTTTAAAAAAAAAAAAAAAAAAAAAAAGAAGGAAAGGGAAAAAAGCGTTCCTGGAAACAAAACAGAAGTTTCTTCAAATGTGTAACTTAAGTACTAGCTAATTTAAAGTTAATGCAAATGAGCTCTTTCCTAATATGAACTCTTTTTTTTAATGTGCATTTTGAAAATACAACTAGTAGCTTAAATGGCTTAAAATACTTGTTTTCTCTTAAATTAACTGAGTTTATATTTTCCTATAATTTCAGGTATCAGAAATGTAATATCTTAGTCCAGAGTTTTAGCAAATTTGTCTAATTACTACACATTGTTCTGTATGATTCTTATTATTAGCTAATAATTGCTAATAAGTTTGATTTAGTATAATTTTTTTCTTACCTCATATTAGCTTTAGCCCTAAATTTGAAGACATTTACTGAAAGATAGTTGTTAGTGAACTGTAGACGCAAGCACATTGTAAGTCAGAGTCACTCATGTTAAAGAGCAAAGACCAAAGTCACGTGTACTCAGTAGGTACTCAAAAATTCATTACAAGAGGTGGATTTTTAAGGCAACATATGAGATCAAAGGGGAGGCCCTGTCCCCATCCCCTTTTAATTCATTGCACATGTATTTTAATAGCTAAACTAAGATTTTGTTAAAAATACTATTTCTTGTTAAATTTCAAACGAGAATGAAGTGAATATTTTCATGGTCTCTGTTGCTGTTCCAAGATCTGTAAATTTGATTTGATAGCTTTTTACTTCTCCAGTCTCATTTTCTTAAAGTTAATTGCTATGGGTAAAAAAGAGAACACTTTTTGTGCTAAATTTAAAAAATGTGTAGTTAAGGGGCTACACCGAAGTAACTCAAATCCTTAGTTAGTATGTCCCCCCATACCACTTAAAAAAAAAAAAAAAATACAGAACAGAGCAATCTAATACATTGTCACATGTCAATCTTAAGCCATATACATACATCAAATAATAAAGTGAATGCTCCAACTACTCCATACTTTACATCTATATGTATACATGTAATTCAAACATTGATAAAAGGGCACACCTCTTGACAAAAGCCTAGGGGATAGAATATAGCAAAATAGCCTCAGATAGTTGAGTCCACATGATTTTGTAGTCTTTTATGATTTAGTGGAGATTACTAATAGTGGGCTAGTCTGAACTTGGAATGCTTGAAAAATGTATTTGTTTGCACCACAACCCAGAGAGGAAAAAAAAAGTAAAATTCTACTTTCCCAGGTGTCATTTTATTCGCTAGTTTCAATTCTTTTTTTTTTTTAAAGATTTTATTCATTTATTTGACAGACAGAGATCACAAGTAGGCAGAGAGGCAGGCAGAGAGAGAGAGAGAGGAGGAAGCAGGCTCCCTGCTAAGCAGAGAGCCCGATGTGGGGCTCGATCCTAGGACCCTGGGATCATGACCTGAGCTGAAGGCAGAGGCTTTAACCCACTGAGCCACCCAGGTGCCCCGCTAGTCTCAATTCTTGATGTAAAAAAAAGCAAAACATGGATCTGCTGAAGTCGAGTTCATAAACTCTTTTCACTGGAGTTCATCTGTTGTATGGGCCCTTCTGTATTGGGCCCTTCTGTGTCCTGACATTTGATATCTCACCCAAACTTTATCAGCTGGCCTCACAGCCTATAACATATTATAAATAACTTGCATAGAAAGAAAGGATCTGTGTATATTATATATATTACAAGATAATAGATAATGCATATATGATACTAAAGTGGGCATTAAATGTGCTAGTAATTTAACTCCTCCCACTTACGGAGAATAAAACATGATTTTCAAATAAGTAAGTTTTCTACTCTTTTTGGGACTCAGTTTTTAAATTAACCAGTTGCTATAGGAAGTATCCAGTAATTATTCCCTCCCTCTGCACACTAGCTGCTTTACATATGACAACAGTTGTTTGGGGATATTTAATATCACCATAATGTCAATGACAAAAGTGAAGTGCAGAGAGGTTTGGTATTTCACCCAAGACTGGCCACTGATGGAAGGATTTAAACCAAGATCTGTTACACTCCATGTACTCTTCTATACCAGGCTGCCTTTGAACTTATTACTGGCAAATTCAATACCTAGTTTTTGGTCTAGGATGGCATTGTTCAATACAAGTATAATGTGAGCTACACATGTAATTTAAAAATTTCTAGTAGCTTATTTTTTTAATTACAGCAGATAAAGTTTATAATGCACTTTTTAACACACTATATAAGATACTGCCATTTTAACATGTAACCAGTATTCAAAAATTGAGATACCTTTCTTTCCTTTTTATTCTAAATTTTCAAAATCTGATGTGTCATTTACACTCAGCACATCTTAATTCAAACGTATTTTCAGGTGCTCAGAAGGCACATGTGGCTGCAGGCTACCATATTGGGCAGTACAGGTCTGAGATGGGTGTGTTGCAGGGAAACAGAAGACTCAGTTTCCTTATCTGTGAAAGAGATGCACCTTTCAAAGTCTTTAGTAGGATTAAATGAGATAATTTGTTTTAAGGTGTCCAACACAATACCTTGAACACAGAAATTACCCCAAAATTCCAGCTGTCCTTTTATTAATAACCTTGTCACCCTACCTTCTTTAAATTTTATCCTTGAGATAAATATAATTTTAGAGGAGATAAATTTGTGACTGCCTTTTGAAATTCATTACCTGGTGTAGACAAGATGAGAATAAAAAGCAACTGGGATTAAAACAATCCTTGGGAAAATTTCGCTCGGATATTCTCAAAATAGTTTCTCTTATTAAGGGCCTTATGGGAAAGGGGAGGAGACCGAAGATTTAACTTCAAGTATAGCACCAATTCATGGCCAGACAGTAAAACAGAACTTTTTATTGGATTTTTCTTGTATGGAATGTTGTGCTTTTAGAAAATGCAGAACAATTCTGTACCCCCTTAAGTGTTCACAGGTGCAGAGGCGCCCATACACATACACTACCTCCTGTCCAAGCTAAGTGGACCAACTAAAAAGGCTGTATTTATGAATTCATATGCTTTCCTTGTTCAACCTGACTTCAGATGAGAACACACACTCAAAGGGTGATAAGGGTATAGAAAATGTTTCAATTGAAATAAAACTAGAACTTTTTCTGATTTCATAATTGCTGCTCCCATTCCTCCCAGGGTAAGCTGCGGTCCTGACTTAAAGTTATCTTGGAACGCGCTGTCCAAGGCCTGTTGATCTCAGAATAAAGCCCAGAAATCTGCATGACCTTCCCAGGCCCAGCAGGCTCCTGCTCCTCTCTGCCTTTCCGCCTCACCTTTTTGCAATCTTCCTCCTCGCTTAGGTTCCAGCACCCACTCCTGCTTTTAGTTCTTTGAAAGTACCTGTCTGGGCTTTCCTTGTACATGGAGCAGTCATTTACCTTTTGCACTCAATTCCTACTCTCTGTCTCCCCTACTTAAAAGATTTCCTCCTCATGGAAGCCTTCTTCTCTTCCCAAACTGAGTTAACTCCTTCATGTCTTCCCACACTAGATTAATGTCATCCCTCACCCCTTCCCTGAACCATGCATACCCCAGACATCCTTGCCACCCCGTACTCCCTCGTCTTGTACCACACACCGAATTTGAATTACTTGTGTGATGACAGACGTGCTGTCCGTCTTTGTCATTAAACTCTAGTCATATGTTGCTAGCACAGCTCCTGGCACAGAGGAAACGCTCAAGAAAAATGTGTTGAAAGAAAACTAGTGTTTGGAAAGCTAACTATTTTTATTGTCCTTTGACCTCAGTTTCCCCAGACATTTCGATTTTGTAGATGGAGAGATGATTCTTCCAAGTCCCTTTTGCACATGGAGTAGATGGTGTCCCTTCAGCTCTAACATTCTGTCACAGTACTTGTACCCAGTTGGGGTGACAAGGGAAAGGGGTGAAGTTTGTAAGAATCTTAAAGCATCAGAAGTTACAAGGTCTTCCAGGTGGAGGAAGTGGCATGGGAAACTCCTAGAGTGTGTTTGTTGGCTGTTCAATAGACCAGATTGGCTAAACTAGGAATTCATATAGAAGTGTGAGAGAAGGGAGGTCAGGCTAAGAAATTGTAAAGCTAACGTTACAGAAGGTTGAATACTTTGGACTTGATCTTGTAGTAAAGGACCATGATCAAAATTGGTATAGAAATGGTAACATGGAGGACGTGATAGAAGGGTTAGTGGCAGCAGACAAGAGTCAGGGGGAATAATCATGCAACACTGTGATCATCTATCTAGTTTCTGGGTGAAGTAGAACGATTCTGAATTAGCATGGTGTCTGTAGGAACAGAAAGGGAAGAAGGGATGCGA